TCACACTTATTTCCCAGAACTTTTTGATTTCAGGCCAAGCCATAGTCAGTTATGTTAAGGTTTGACTCTGGAGTGACTTAACCTAATAAAGGTTCTTATCTAAAGAATCCCTTTGTAGCTTCAACTGAATATCAAGTGTTGCTGTGCTGCTGCAAGGGGAACCTCCAACCTCGCCTCAAGTCTTTTGCAGCCTCTGGCTGATTCAGTTCCCTGTTCTTAAAAAAAAAATGAATAAATAAAAAAAAATATATATATATATATATATATATATATATATATATACACACACATCAACATTACTACCCTTTTGTCACCCTCTCAGCTGCGTGCATCATCTTTAAAAAAAAAAAAAAATAAAAATAAGGATGAATTTAGCCTAGAGAAACTATTGCAGAATGAGTTTCAGATATGGTGCATATTTTAAATGGGATGCACACATTATGTTAATACTGTTGTTTACTTTACAGATTTTAAATCCTTATAACACTATATTTCCCATATTTCTAATTAGTTTTAGATAAGGATGGGGAAAATATATCTTAAGCCCCATGACAACAAATAGGAACAAGTAGCTTGTTTAAAGCAATGGATCAACATTTTCTACATGAATGAGTTACTATAACTTTGTTAGTTGTTAATGATTGATGGCAAGGAAAAGTCATTAAAGAAGGAGGTGATAAGCTGGTTGGCTGGAGGATAAATCTTATAGATTTTTTTTAATGTATCTTCAAGAAAAACACTGATAAGTAAAAAAAAAAAAAAAAGCTGCTTTGTCTTTCCAACTTTCACCCTGAGTTCTTTCACATCACTGAATTCCCTTCCATAGAACTTTTTTATATTCATTCCAAGTTGTAAGAACACGTCGTTCATTCCCATCAAGCGCACCTGTTGGCTTCAAACTCTGGCTGCTTTGCCAAGGCCGCCCTGACACTCCCCTCCTCTGTATATACAGTTGATGTCATGTACTTCTCGCCTAATTGACTACAGCAGCCAATAGCTGCAGGACAGGTTATGGCTCAGGGAGGAATGCTTTTCATTTAGGGAGCCACTCACACGGCTCCATGTGCCGCAACCTCGACGGCTCAACAGTAACAATAACCCCCACCCACCCTCGAAACCCTTCCACAGCAGTTTATTTGCAAAGCAAATTTCCTCCTGCGTCCCTGGATTTGGTGAGAAGCACGATAAGCAGAGATACAGATAGAACGATCCAAGCAGAAGTTGAAAAAGCAAAAAAAAAAAAAGTGCAACTGAAGTTAAATGATTCTCATTTCAAAGAAATGCAAATCTCCCCTCTGGCGAATGAGAAGATTGTTTGAGGCTGCTTGAAATAATGGCTCATCATATGTAAGGTCAAGAGGATTTCACATTCCATTCTTAAAAGGTATGAGTTCATGCAACAAGAACATTTGAAAAACATAAAGCATTGGAAAAAATACCTCAAGGATTCAAATAAATGTTTAGTTCTTCTTGTAAAATATGTGTGGTAGAAAGCTGATGCGATGTCCACAATGACACACAGGGGTGGAGGCATTATGGTGTGGTTATGCTGCTATTAAACAGAAAGAGGGAAGATGGTCAGTTCGTCAGAACAGATATTACTTCAGGGAAATGATAGAGAAAAATAACTTGGTTAAGGCTTTGTTAACAGGAATTGATTCTAGTTTTTTGAGGGGATTTTTTTGCATTAAAGTAAATCAAGAAGGCCTTATTTTGGACAGCAAAAGCTCAGTAAAAAGATTTAAAATTACAAATACGAGAGGCCTTTAAAAACAATATGTATCACTGACTGTTTACCTCAAGATGCAAAGCGTGGCTTGACTAAAGCTAACGGGGAAACGGCTCTGAAACATGATTCCTTGGACAGATGAAACCAACATTAACCTGTTAACAGAATGGAGGGATGAAAACTGTATGTAAATTAAAAGAAGGGGTTTGTGATCCAAACATTTCTACCTAACCGATGAGAAATAAATGCAAAAATGATCTAATCATTATCAAATTATCAGATGATAGGCATGGCTAATACAAAAGGAAAGTATAAGAATTCAAAAGCTTCACCATTTGAGAATGTGTGATTCTGGGCCAAAAACCTCTCAGGCTTCAAGGCAGCTGCTGTGATATAATTAAGTTAGAATGTGTTTAAAGTACTTTTTTCATAAGCTTTGTAGTCTAGTAGATACACATAATTTGTTTTTAAAATATTTTTTTATATAAAAGTGCAGTTAATACTTCCCAAACTTAATTTTTTAAAGCTGTCTTTTAGTTTTATCTTTGTTTACACAGTTTTAGAATTATATTATTGCAACTACTGCTGCTTCAGTATTTACCAAATGGTTATTAGTTACTTCCCAAATCTTGCTGTGCTCTGTTTTAATTAAGATTGGACTGGATGAATTGCAGTTCAACAAAATTGTTTAGGTATTTTATCATTTTGAATGTATCTACAGATACAAAAAACCTTCAGGGCCTTCAAAGCAGCAGACTTTATCTAAAAGCCTGCTAAACTAAACAAAGGGAGAACATTAAAATACTGTATGCTTAGATTATAACCTTGAAATCCAAAACCTAACATATAAAAAAAATCATACCACCATCAAAGTGGTGAATAATTGTCTTGTGGTGAAGTTTAGTTCCATTTGCGGATACAATGTGTGTCTTTTTAGACAAACTCCAGACTTGTTCTTACGCTTTGTTAGGAGATGAAGGTTCTCACAGTGGTAAACATGTCTAAACCAAATCCGATCCCTGGATTTCTTCACCGTTGACCTTTGGTGCTTATGTCAGCCGTAAAAAAAAATAACAAAACAAAAAAATCCCAACCTTTTAGAGCTGTAAAAACAGAAGGTACCGCAATTGGATTCACCGTTAAAATCCAAAGATGGTGATGAAAATGGAAACCATGTTACCTTAAAAAAAAAAAAAAACAGCAAATCAACTTCTATATTTACTTAACAATCATTAACTATCACTTCAACTCACTTCAAATGTCTTATCAGAAGTAATAACATCTAGAAAAAATTAAACAAAAGCTTTTTAAAGTGTTTTATTAAATGCAAACACTAAAGCCTACTGCCAGCATTTATTTAGCTTCAGAATTCAACCCTCTGATTGGCATTCCTCTCAAAAGCAAGGGTTGTATTAGCTGTGTCATATGTGCCTAAGATACGGTACTTAAAATAGCTGCACTGTTGGAGTCAAAATATGACTAAATCCAGAGAATTATCCAAAAGATTTCAGAGAAGTAAACTTCACTGCACAAACAAAAAAGAATCTATGCAAACAGATGAAGTCACTGAAGCTTCCTGGTATTAAAGCTGGATTTGCAAATTGGAAGTTTAATGAGTCGTAGTTTAACCACCAAGATGTGACCAAAATGGAAGGGAGGCATCAACATCTGACCTTGGATTCCTGAGGAGGAAGGTGAGCGAAATCCCTCCACTGACTCTGGAAGAACTGCAGAAGCCATTAAAGTTTCAGTTTGCCCAATACGGCACTGCCCTATTGCTGAAGTGATTCATGCCTGAAATATAACAAGACAAACCACTTATGATCCATAAGCACATGCCCAGTCAGCTCCATTTTGTTTATGAGTTTAAATAAGACAAACGGGATTTTGGAATTGAGCTCTTTGAACCTGAAACTCAAAAATGAAAGTGTTTCGGCTGATAGCTCACCGGTTTGTTTCCTCTCACACTGGAAACCTGCAGATTGTGAAGAGCAAGATTTGTTCAATATCGTACCAGGAAATCCTGGGAGAAAATGCCACTCTGTCTGTGAGGGATTTGAAGCTTGGGTTTTTTTTTTTATTGGACGCCCTGCCAGATACCAAGCATATCTCATAGCCTACCATGGCTTGATTTGAGTAGAAGTACTGGAAGATATTAGACTGCTTATCATATTCAAAGCTATTTTAGGGGCTCCAGAGAATCATTTCAAGGCCAAACTGCAAAGGGGATTATTGAGATACCAAAAACATTTTAATTTTCCTCGATTCTCTTGGGAAAAAAAGACAATTCTAAGGTTTCCGGCTACCTCAGTTAGCTGCACCCATGTGTAAAGCTAACTGAAACACAGGTTCTAAATTATAGCGCCATTTTCAAATAAATGCCTCGGGTCTGCTAAAGTGATAACCTCATCCTAGGAAGTTTTCATTTTTGTGACTGTGGTCGCTTAGTAGCATTTAGATTACAAGCAGTCCAACCAACCAGCAGAAGGACCACCCATTACTTATTTGCATGATGAGGCAGAAAGACATCCAGAAATGTAAACTAGACAGGCAGAAATAAACAGCATTAAAGATATAAATGGGATTTTAAAAAAAAATAGAAAGGAAGAGAAATAAACGGACATAATAAAGCATACACTGAAATAAAAAAATAAAAAAAATACAAAAATAAGGTAGAACAATATAGGGATGAAAAATAAATAAGGTAAATACTACAAAAGTATTAAAAAACTTAAAGAGAAATTGTTTATTAATTTGTTATACTTCTGTATTTATTTGTATGCCCATTTATTTATTATGTATTTATTTGTAATCATGTTTTTACAACACAAAACCTGTAAGACAGATCCTCGTTCACAGCACTTTATAACAGTTTTATGCATTTGTTCCTATACAGAGCACACCTGTTGGCTGTAAATTCAAAAGCTGCCCTTGTTAGTACGTCATTGATGTCATGATTTCTTTGAGCCTCATTACAAAGCCAGACAGCAGCCAATCGCTGCGGGCCAGGTTGAAGCTCGGGAAAGGATGCTTCTCATTTCGGGAGCCACTCACACGGCTCCATGTGCAGCAACCTTGACAGCTCAACAGTAACGAGCCCCCCCTGGTTATTTGCCTAACAAATTCCCTGCAGTCCCACTAAAGCCAGGAAGATGATTTTAAAACTAAGATAAAGAAAACTGTTTGGAGAGTGGAGGAAAAAAGAAAAACACAAAACAAAATAATTCAGAAGCAGCTGTATCTCACGTGAGGTTAGAAACGCATTTTTTTTTGCGTTCAAGCAGCGTGGAGCTGGTGTTACATGCTAAAATAACTAATATCTGATTTTAGACAGTCTTGGCATATTGAATGTGATTAACCAGAAGGCAATGATGGCCCATATGTTCTTGTTTCTAGCTTAGTACAAGAGTCATAATTTTCTGTTCCTCCCAAGATGTAAGCAAGTCGTTGTCCGACTTTGAAAACTTTAATAAAAAAAAAAAAAAACCTCCAGAGGTAGATCCGCGTTTGTTGCCAGATACTAGCATTGATAGCAGTCAAAATGTCTCACGCTAACCTGATCTCTGGGTTTTTTCCACTGCTGATCTTTGGAACAAAGCAAAGTTAAAAACATTTGATGATGCAATTTTAAAAACCTCCAAATTATTCACTGCTAAGTCTTTTAAACTGTGCTTTGAAATGTACTCCTGAACATTTGGACTATTTGTTAAGCTGCAAACAGCAACTTTCAGCTATTTAGATGGAATTTTAACTGACAAGTACAGAATGTACATCTAAGATTTAAAAAGCTCACTTAATAATCTCTGCTTAACAGCTTGAGCCAAATCAGACTGGATATATGGTGATTGATTTTTAGTCCCAAGTCAAATTCTTAGATTGCATTTTAACCTAGGCTTTGACTGAGCTATTTTAACACAGAGATATATGTGACTATGTCACTTTAGCTGCATAGCCCTGCTGGAAGGTAAACCTTTGACCTTGCCTCACATTTTTTGCAGCTGCTGACAGCTTTTGTCTATTTTGCTTAATTCATCTTTCCATTAGCTCTGATCACATTGCAGTTCTCTGTTGGAGAAGAAAACGTTCCCACAGCATGATGCTACCATCACTGTTCCACTGCAATGATAGTATGTTTAGGGTGATTTGAATGTCAAAGTTAAATTACATATTTTGATATCATGTAACTAGAAACCCATCCTCCACATGTTTAGTTGCCAAAACAAAATGGCCTAAGGCAAAATTCAGATGTAGAATTGTGTGGCTTTGTTTAAATGACTTTATAGGAGTAACAGTTGTCCTGGCAACGGAACCTCCCACCTGAGCTGTGGATCGCTGCAGCTCATCCAAAGTTACAACAGACCTACTGTCTGCTTTTTTGACACTCTCTTTAGTCAGCCTGTCAGTTTAGGTTAATATGATCACAATTGGTAGATTAACAGTTCTGTCAAACCCTTTCTGCTTTTGCATGGTAGACTTGCTAGAACAATTCTCCATTAGTTGTTTGAAGCACAACTATATCGATCTGTGTGCTGCGTTCCTTTAGTCTTTATGATACTGGTTGTTCTCTAAAAATAACTATTTTCTAATGAACCTCTGAGGCTTCCACAGAAAAGCTGGATTCATACCGAAACAACGCTACAAGCAGGTTGAATCTATTTATACAAATAGCCTCTGGACAAACAGCAAACTATTTTAATCTTTGTCAGTAAGAACTATTTCTGAGCTCTCACAACTGTCAGTTTTACACCTCACCACTGTAGAGACAATAGTAACAGAATCCGGTCTGTTAACCAGTTTGATTAAGGTGCTTGTTCTGCTTCTTTAAAATAGTGTTTCCTTATAGAGTGCATGCAAAATACTTCAAAGAAAAAAACTATATTTAAATACCAAAACAGTGTTATAAGTTAGACATTCTGCAAAAAAATACACAACATAAATGGACACATTTAAAAGTACCGTTTTAATTAAAAACGTTTTAACTGTGAAGAAATATTTTCAAACTTTAATTAAACCTGTCTGCCGATGAGGTCAGAAGATGAAGAAAGGACATTCCTGCTCTAACTGAGTGGCTGTGAACAGCTAAAATACACACATAGGTTTTTCAATTTTTTAGTAAAAATGACAGAGATCGTTTACAGCTACGCAGAGGAAGATTGTCCTCCAACAAGATATGCAACTCCATGACTTACTGATATAATTCTTTACCACCCCATGAAGGATAAACTATACCAGGTGGCGTATTTATGCAAAAAAAAAAAAAACCTTTGTACAAAAGTATGAAAGCTATTCAACTTAAATAGATAGTCTCAGCTGGATGGTTTCTACTGGAAACTTTCACGTTTTCTGCAGCGACTCATCTTGATTTGGAAGATGTTGCCTGATAATACTGACAATGGTCGATACCTCTGCCATGGCGCCTTTACCTACACCAAAAGAAGAAATTAAAGAAGTGCATCAAAAAGGAAAAATAAAGTTCATCCATTTATCACTTCAAAAAAATATATAAAAAATAAATTGTCCTGAAGGAGATTCATGGTAATAATATGTCAATAATGAACATTTCAGGCATGATAGTGCATATTTTAGTTTTTTGTAATTTTTTGTGGCAATGACTATCATTAGATTACCATTTACTAAAATAATACCTAGCCATCTACTCGGTTGCACAATTTACACTCACCCACACTCGCACACTCAAACAAACACTGTATCCATCTTCTGTCACTGTTATTTGAATTATCCACTTTGTCTATGAATGTAATATTTAAAAAAACAACAGAAAAACAAAAATAAAAGACTTAAGTAATGCAGATTTATCAAACCTGTACAATCCCTCATTGATCAGACAAAGCACATTCTTAATAGTGTTGCATCAACATTAAACGGTTGCATCAGAATGAATGAAGAACAGAAAGCCAAGCACATTGCACTTTAAATTTTTGACACAGCATAAAGAGGCAAACTAACTTGTGGTCCAATCACCATTGATAAACAAAGCTTACTTTTTCAAATGGTTTCTAACACACAACATTCGCTTTTTTGTGCTACACCCTTTTCTAGTACACTTCTGTATTTCCATTATCTAAAGGTTGGAGTGTGTGAGCTAACAACTGATTTTGCTGTGTCATCCAGGCAATCTTTAAACAAAAGTATCACCGGAGGCTTCAAGGCCGAGTTTAAAAGCCAGCAATGACTGTTACTGGACTGTTTGTGCAGCCAAAATGATACAGTCTAGAAGGGCCTGAGAAATGAAGGCATCAGAGAAAAGGTTTAGGAAAACCAAATGATGCATAAACTGTTTACTAGCAAAGATATCTTACAAAGTGTTAAACAAATCAGACAAGTACTTTGGAACCACACTGGGTCGTGTAAGCCCTGGGTCAAATAAAAGGCGTTTCTATCAGGTAACCTAACAGACTGCATAAGGCACTATCTGAGTTCATCACAGAGCGCACTCAGTAGGTTGATTTGACCTCTGGCAGTTGTGGCATTTATCATTTCCCTTAATTATAGCAGTCTTTTAAACTGTGGTGACATTTGTCATAGTAGTGGGACAAGCAAGCCATGAAGCTTGTTTCAAGTATCAAAACATGGAGTATAAACTTGAAATCTATGTGTTTTTCCATTATATGTCTCTATATACTTTTGATGAGTGTATTACAATAACTGATAGGTATATTGTACCTGAGGCAGTCTGATAATTTTCCGATTCTCATATGAACTGAAAGTTCAGACTATAAACACTCAGAATGAAACAAGAGATTTAAATAAATAAATAAAAAACAAGGTCAATCATCATCCATCAGAAAGCTAACATCATATTTAGATAAACTTTGAAAACTTTGACTTTAGGCCAAATTTGACGACGTCTCCTATCTGACTTTCATCTGATCAAGTGGAAAAAAATCAGTAGGTAAATGGGAAAACCTTTAGAATCATCTGAAATCACAACCAAATAGGCTAAAGTCGTGATGCTTAGCACTAATACTTTCACCAACAAGCATGTGCAAGTTGCAGCTGTGTAAAGAGCACTTAAAGACCGCGTGACATTTGCCTGCTATTTCTATAATGATCAGTAAATGTAAGTTAAGTGCAACTGAGGGAATAGGAAAGATAAAATCAAGCCTTCTCAAAAACTTCTCAAAAAAAGTTGAAAATGGCTGATTAACGTGGCAATGAGCTGCTGAAATATTACAAAATTTAATGCAGCATGATTCATCAGGGGACTAAGAAGCAACAACAAGGAAGCAATAATGAAACCGTTTTAGCAGTAGTATGCAACGTCTAACGGGGAAAAAAACTAAGCCGACATATTCTACCTCTTTCTATACAATCTGATGTCTCTGCTGTCAAAGTTGCTTTACAGAACTACAAAGGCTGAGGTCCATTACACTGGGGTCAACTTTGTTCAACATGACTAAGAAAGTACCTGACCCCGCATTTAGTGAGAAATTGACGAAAAACATAAGAAAATACAAACAGCTTAGTTTGTAAACACATTCCATTCCATATATATATATATATATATATATATAT